GGCTTACTTTGTTCAATGACTTCCAATAACATGCAGAAGGTCATCAACATGGCCTTAGCACTTAGTTCTCAAATATCCTTGGAGCTACAAGTGTTGAAGTCTTCTGTGTTCTGGCTTTCAGGTCAAAATCAATGAAATAACATGCACATTTTTACTCTCCTTCCAATCTATGCAAAGCTGCCTTACACAAAACTGAACTGATGTTGATATTCTAAGCTACAGGTCATTTCAATTTTTACAGTATTTGAATTCAAATGGCTAACCCTTTTGATAAGGTTAATACAAATAATTCCTTACCCCAGTATTATTTATACTACTGGGAGTCTAAATGTGAACACTGGAGTCAGTGGGGATTTCAGCACTTCATGTAGATTCATTAACTCCATCCTCACATGCTATTTGACAAATGATGCATCTGTGCATTGAGGCCAGTGCTATCAGCATGCAGAAGTGGTATATGCTGCGTTAATCAGCGATGAACATTCAGTATCCTAAAAAACACTGAACAGTATTTTTCTCTATTTACCTGTATAGTCATAAAACAAAAGTAATCCAATTTCTACTAAGGGCAAGATCTATTGTAGGATGCAAAGTAACTTTAGCCATGTAAATGTGATTATCTCCAAGCACTGCTAATGCACATCGCTGTGATTATAATGTTCATTTCACTGTAGAGAAGGACAAGACAGTTTCAGTTCCACAAGGGCTATTTCGTAAAACATTGTACCTTGATGTAAACCAACTCCAGCATTTTCCTACAACAGTTGCAGGAAAAACAGTTAATGTTCTGACTCTGGCTACATGTCTGAATAGTTACTGTGACAGTTTAAAAGATCTCAAAAGAATCCCCCCCCACCCCCCCCGGAACCAAGGACTAAACTCAGGCCCTTAAGGGCACTTGTCAGGGAAGCACTTATTTCACTAAGCCATCTCCCTGGCCCCAAGAATTTATTCAGGCAAAGGACACTGCATAAACATAATCTAAAAAAAAAAAAAAAAAAAAAAAAAAATAGTAAAAAGACATTTTTTTCCATAGCACATATTTGTTTTAATATAAAAAGAACACTTTGAGGCCAGGCACAGTGGCCCATGCCTATAATCCTAGAACTAGGGAGGCTGACGCAGAAGGATCACTGTGAGTTTTAAACCAGCCTGGACTATGTAATAAGTTCAAAGACATTGTTGAAAAAGCAAACTTCACTCTTGCGATTATGGCTCAATATACCACACAAGAACAACATAAAAGAAAAGAATAAACACCTAACGAACTGTTTGCCAAGTCTCACCCTGTGCTCTTTGATCCAGCGTTCCATGTCGTTTTCAGTCAGGTAGTAGGCTTTGATATAGGTTTCCACAAATTCTTTATCAGGAATCGGTCTGATGTCCGTTAGTTTTTCAAGTTTCATTAAAAACTGCTGGAAGTCCAACTGCATCAAGGCACGACCCTCATTACTGCACTTCTTGACGTTGGCATATCTAACATACACAGTAAGGTGATAGCATAAATGATAGAAGGGTCAGGGCTACGAAGAGAAACTTTTAGTATGTGCACTTCTCTTTAAAACACATTAGGACGCACAGCCCAGAAATGAGAGGGTTCCAGAAAAACAGCACCTGAGGGGCCAGGGAGATGGCTCAGTGGAATAAGTGCTTCCCTGGCAAGCACAAGGGCCTGAGTTCAATCCCCGGTTCCCCAAAAAAAAAAAAAAAAAAAAACAGCACCTGAGACTCAGAAGGGGTGGACCAAGTTCATGCCTTGTTTTGATTTAAAGCAAAACAAGAACCTATCTTTCTACCTCGCCTTCACTTTCTTCATTTGTAAAGCAAAGAAATCAACAAACTTCAGGGTCCTTTTTTGCTGTATGCACTATTTTCTCTGCACCCAATTTACATAACTGCAGGAAAGTTAAGGCGGCATTTCAGTTAATCTCATTGCCAAGTTATTTACAAAACTAAGCTCTGAATACTCCAAAGTAATCCTAGTTTTATAAAATTCTTCAATATTGCAACCACTCCATGCAAAAAAAAACAAATAAAATAATTCTCCCATGAACACTATTCCTATTTTCTATGATAAAACAATTTTATAGACTTATTTTGACAACCACTGAAATACTGTATATTTTAAGGTAGACTAGTAATAAGTATAACTATATTAACCTGAACAGTGTAATATTTTATTTTTCCTAAGTCATTCCTTCAACTGATCATACAGACTGTGGAAAATTCAACTTCAGAAAATGAGATATTTCCCCTAAGGAAATTTGTATGAAAATCCAACTTACATTATTTAAAGTGACCAAGCATTTTTTTTAATAACCTAACACATATTATTCACTTTTCCACATGATGATGATGATGATGATGATGATGATGATGATGATATTTTTTTTGTATTTTAGGGAAAGGTCTATAGGGTGTCCGGGGTCTCACTACTAGATCAGACTCATGATGATCTGCCTGTTTACAGCCTCCCAAAAGCTGGGATTACAGGTGCACGCCACCACACACAGTCTCCATTGCCATCTCAGCACACTCCAGGGATGGGGCCGGCATGGCAGGCCCAGGGGATTGAGCCCCTGGCCTCTGTGCCTGCTTGCAGGCACTTCCATCTGCTGAGCTACTTGGCCAGCCCTGGTCATGACTGTTGACCCCGCGTCTTCTTACAGCACTGTGGCTTCAATGTGGAATGCCAAGACGGCTGTTAGTTCATTGCTGGCACCTTCCCACTTTCTAATATGTTCTTTTCATAACTAATGAGAACAAAAGAAGAATCAGATAATGATAATGTGAAAATTTAGTTAATGTGCAATTCTAAATCACTGTGTATGATTGTTAAGTTCTACATGTTGTGAACACAAAAAGCAGCCTCTTGAGTAAGGGGAAGAATGACTGCTGACAAATCTGGATGATCTTGGCAGAGGAAAGATTTCTACAGTTTATAACAACACGATGATGATGGTTACCAGTGAGACAAGGGTTATGAGGTCTGACTTTGCCAT